CACACACACACACACACACACACACACACACACACACACACACACACACACACACACTCCAGTTTGCAACGCTGTCACCTAATAATACGATCCATCCTGAGTTTTTTATAATGATATGGACCTATGGGTCTGAAATAAAATATAAAAGTATCTAATATTTTACTGGTTTTAATCATCGTCACTAAAAAGAAGAATTCAATCCTAAAAAGTGTGATAAACAACACACGGACATTTAGAAAATTCTTAAATCCAAGGTTTAATTTAAAAAACTATTTGGTTAGAAATCAATTACATGAAAGAAAGAGATTAAATTAATAAAATGTAACCCGTCTTTATGTAGTTATAAAGGTGCAAGGCAGCAGGAGGCCGTTTGAATAAAAACATGTTTTTCAGAATGTTATGAAAATGCTGCGTTTGAATTTCAGACATTATGACCTCATAACCTCTTTAAGTTCTAGAATGTTTTGATGTCATAAGGAGACAGAGTTTTAAAGGGAAGCAGTTTGCAAGACTTTGGTCAGTCCCCTGAGAGAGTAGAGAGGAGAGACACATATTTTGAGAGAGAGTTTATTCTAGTTGTAGCGAGCGATTTATTGTTGAGAGAAGCGTTGTTTTATTATTGTTGTTTTATTATTGTTGTTGTTTTATTGCCGTTGTTGTCTGTTTGTGTGCTGTGAATCTGTAAAGATTCGAACTTCAAGGTTCATTTCCAGCTTTGGAAATCACCGCCTGTGTAAAAATGTCACCTGGTAAGACTCAAAACAGATTTTAACATGTTGTAACATTGTTGTTTTAAAGTGTTAGGAGGGGTTTATGGGGGTCTTAAGAGGTTTTTATACTGAATGTTGTCTATTTTTTAAGTAAACACTCAAAAGCCAGACTAGGGGCAAGAGTTGGAAACTAGAAATACTTTTAAACTCTGTACAGTTTCATGCTCTGTGTTGACATTGTGTAATATTCAATACTCTTAGACTCAAATCATACTGACTTGAATATATTGTCTCCCTGCTCTCCAGTCTTTGTGACTGAGATTCAGGCAGGTCAAACCCTGTTCAGCAGCACGTCTGCCTACTCCGTCCTGGAGTTCATCGGGGAAGGCTGCTTTGGCAAAGTGGCCAAGTGCCTGAACCTTGAAACCAAAGAGACAGTGGCCATCAAGATCCTGAAAAAGGACTCTGGTTTGATCCTGGATGCTGAGAAAGAGGTAGATTATTCGACTCCTTTTGATTTTTTATAACGTATTTACACACTGTAGATTCTGTCTGCTCCATCAGAAGGCCTCACAGTTTTATAAACTGGTTGTTGTGTCTCCTCTTGTCTCATTAGGTGTCCACCTTAAAGGTCATCTCTGCCCTCAATCCAGACAATACCAATATGGTGAAGTTCTTCGAGCAGTTTGAGTACATGGGACAGACCTGTCTAGCATTTGAGATGCTGGATAGGAATCTCTACGACCTGCTCCAAGACAGAAACTGGGAACCGCTCTCTCTGAATGCGATCCGGCCAATTGCAAAGCAGGTATGTAAACATTATCATATGAAATCAGTTATCTTCTCAGCTACAGATCAAACCCTCCAACCCTGAACTCTACACAACCTCAAACTCTTCTGATTTGTCCCTGCAGCTGTTGGTCGCCCTGGATGGCCTGAAGAGTCTTGGTATCGTGCACACTGATATCAAGCCGGACAACATAATGTTCGTCAACAGGCAGGATCAGCTGCTACAAGTCAAACTGATTGACTTTGGTGAGGCATACCAGCTCCAAAGCCAAGCTAGGTCAGGAGATTCAACCAGGAGGATACAGGTACGTTTATCCTGCAATGCAAATCAGTTCATCCACTTTGTTTAAATATCCATGCTGTTCTTGTGTTTCCCAACAATTGCACATCAAATTAAGACTTCTGTGAGTATGCGATTAAAAGCTAATTAGAAATTGTTTAATCATAGTTAATTGCATTTTTAATTGCATGTTTAAAATATCATTATTTCACATTTAAAAAAAGGTTTTGTTTAGATTTTAATTTGAAGTTTTGTACTGAATAAAGCTAAAAAATAACTTCCTGTTTGAATTCAAACCTGATTTTTATTCTGAAATAAAAGTAAGGATCTTCCAGTCGAAGTAAACATTTACAACATCATCTTGACCACACATACGTAACTTCAACAAAATTACATATTGGGGTCTTTTTTTTCCCATCCTCAGGGCTCCTGAAGTCTCTCTCGGCCTTCCCTTTAACGAGTCTATAGATGTTTGGGGATTGGGCTGCATCCTCTCCTTCCTCTTTCTATCTGACAATCTCTTCCCGGTTGATTGCGACTATCAGATGGTATGTAAACTTAAATAAGACAACGTAAGCTAACCAAAGACAAAGTGAAACTTTTTGCACAGATTGTCATATGATGTGTGTGTGTATATTGTGTGTGCAGATGAAGTGCATCGTTGAAGTTCTGGGTCTGCGGAGGAATATCAGCTCCGTGATGGCATATATAGCCGTTTCTTTTTCAAGAAGGAGGCGACTGCTGAGGGTCCAACATGGAGGATTATGGTAAAGTAACCACGTTCTGCTTAGTTTGAGTTGGAAAATCACTTGAATTGAACTTCATTTTAAACTCTTCTCATATATTTTGTATCTTTAGACTCCTGACGAGTTTACAGCGGCTAACGGCACTGAAGTGCAAAAGCACAACAGCTGTACTGAGCTGCCGAGCTGCCTGGACGCTCTGGTTAATGTAAGTACTCTCTGCAGTTGATATGAATACTTAAGTCTAACCCTTGAATCACGCAAAGTGTCCTGACTTCTAAATGTGCTGATGAGGCAAGTTTTAGGGCTCTGGGACAAATTTGGAAGTGAATTTCAAGTATTTAAGAAATACTTTGATCATTTAAAAATGGCCGCTGCTAGCGCAAGATTTGCCGTCTGGGGGCCTTATCCGTTTGTTTCATTCCTTCATGTATTTTATTTGCAGTTGTCAACACCGATTGAAAAGAAACAATCTGTCTCTGTGACGTTAAAGAGTTACATAAACTTACAATAATCTCATTCCAAATCCAGTTGTACTCAGAAGGGGGCGCTACCGAGCGTAAGGACAGGAGAGTCTTTGTGGACTCTTAAACGTCTGCTGCATCTCGACGCGGATGAGAGGATCACTCCCCGTGAAGCTCTGCAGCACCCTTTTATCACTATGACCCACCTGGAGAGCAGCGACTAGTAAGTGATTTCTACACACTCAAGGTGGCTGCCATGTTTGTACTTGAAGTAGATAGCACAAGAGGATTGAACGACTTTATGTTTATTTTATTGATTGACTGATTTACTAACAACTCATTTGTCGTTCTCCATCTAGTCTGAGAAACGCTCGAATCATGATGAGCTGCTGCCAAGATACTGGATCCAATGTAAGAGATCAAACCTCTGGATCAAGAGCTCCAAACGCTGGAGAGACAGTCAATGACTCCTGTGACCAAGCGTCTCATAAGGAACATTTAACTACCTGGTCCACTGTTGCCGATCTGAGACATTTCTGTAATGACGGTTTGGCTCCCTGGCTCTCTGATGAAGAGGTCAGTGATCTCTCCTCCGGTGAGGCTCCAGATTCCTGGTCTTGTGAAGGAGAACAAACATATGTCTCCTTAAAGGAAGTTGCAGCTTCAGTTTCCTGCTGGTCTGCTTATGGAGCTCAAATCAAAGACTCCCATGATGATAACGCAGTCCCAAGGTCGACTGAAGGAGGACTACCTCCCTGCTCAAACCCTAAAGAACCAGATTCTGAAGGAGTCTCCGGCACTAAAAAAAGGCTGAAGCAGATCCGTAAATTCTTCAAGAGAATTGTGACTTGCTTCTGCTGCTGCCGTGCCGAGGACTGATTCCTTTGAGTCATCTTTTATTTCTTTATTTCTTTATTTATTTCTTTATTTATTTCTTTATTTCTTTATTTCTTTATTTCTTTATTTATAATAAAAGTGACTGATTGCACTTAAATACAGCGTCACAGACCTTCTTACTTGCTGATAAGTGTAACAAAAAAATTACCTTTGTGTCAAAATAAGGAGGTTTTAGTGTCTTAGTAGTAACACACAATGTTCCAGCTCTCATCAATACCTGCACCTGATTATAAGTATTCATAATAACTGTTCACTGTTGGAGAGTGTCCATCACATGGGGAATCTATCACTCTCAAAATTGGTGATAGTCAGGGTCTTTCAGCCTTCTGACCCTGTTTGAGGAGGATCTGTACTGTACATCAGATTTCAAAGCGTTCATTTCCTGTTGCCAGTAGGTGGTGCTATAAGTAATCGTTGCATGGCGATGTGCTGAGAGCTTGACATGCTTCAATAGATGAAAACATTGACTTTGGGGCAGGATTAATATTGTTTACAAGAGTTACAACACAACACAACCAATAACACACAATAAATTCTGGGTGCACAGCTACACCTTTTAGACACTTAAAGATTCAGATTTCAGATGAAGCACCCGGGGGGAGTGGCTTCATCTTTGCCTCCTTAAAGATTCAAAAAAATTATTCTAAATGGTTTGTATCCATCCGGGTTTACATTGTGGGAACAATAAACTTAATTTTAAGTCTTCAAATGTTTTCATACATGCAGAGGAAAACCACTGAGGGGCAATAGTTGTAGAGCTCTTTATCCTTAATCATGAACAAGGCACCTCTGAAGTGTGCACATAGTTGTAGCCTTAAAGGTTTCATTATTACACACAGAAGTAGAAGTTTTAACAGAGCCGTGTGTATATGTGTACATCTCAAGGTTATTTCTTTTTGTGGTTTTCTTAATGTGGGACGTCATTGTTGAAAATCGGCTTTTAGCACTTCCTAAATGTAGCTGACCTACACTCAGAAACATGCAGAGCCCTACAGAGGACTAAAGCAGCTGCTGTGTAGGCGAGCTGTTATTGTTCGTTCTCTCAGGTGAGTGTGTGAGTGAACCTGGATCCTCACTTAATAAAACCCTCAGTGTCTGTAAGCTGCATGCCAGTTACCTCGTTGACATTGATGCCGGTGTCTTCATGTAGTCTCTGTCGTTGACCTGACCCCCTCTGCAAACTCCATGGTCAGGATCCTCTTTGTGGACAGATGCCAGTGGATCATGGGAACCTGTGGACAGAAAACTAAATGTTTATTACGTCTGGGCATGCACTTTTTCTTTATACTCTGCAAAGAGTGCAGGTACAGAAATAGCCACTGAACACATACAGTACTGACATTTGACATACTGTTCATAGTAGAAGAAAGCATAATAAGATAAGGGACCCAAAACCTCCGTGCTCTCTCTCTCTCTTTAGCCTATTTTTTGTGACTTTATTTTAGAGAGAGGACATTGGGTAGAGCTGGAATTTAGGGACAAACATAAAGGGGAATGACATGTGGGAAAGGAGCCACAGGTCCGATTCAAACCGGGGTCACCCGCCTGGAGGACTGTAACCTCCGTACATGGGGTGCATGCACTAACCACTAGGCTACCGACGCCCCGAGCTTTGGTACCTTTTTATACTATTAAATGTAAAAAATATTTAATCACAGGGAATCAAACGCCCTCTTTTTTTCTACAGGTTGTGCCTTTTTTTCCTTTATTTGGATAGACAGTAGGAAGAGAGAGTGGGGAATGACATGCAGGTAAGGAGTCACAGATCGGACTCGAACCCTGGTCGCCCGCTTGGAGGACTATAGCCTCTGTACAAGTTGCACGACCCAACTGCTAAGCCATCCTCGCCCCTACTCCTCCCTCTTTATCAAACACAAACTGTTATGAATGACATATTGAAGAACAATTAAATAAAAAGCAAATATGCTAAATAATGTAACCTTGAATTGATATAACACAGCTGCTGCTTCGTCAGTGGTGTATGAATGAGATTAGTCACTTCTGATGGACTCTTTACTCAGCAGGGTGAACCTGCGGAAGGATCATTACCGGTTTTGAGATCCCCGCACCCGAGGCCGCGTGGCCCCTCGGTGCTGGCGGCGGATATTTCAGAAAAACACATTTGTCTAGACAAATGTGTTTTTCTGACATATCCGCCGCCGAAGGATCATTACCGGTTTTGACATCCCCGCACCCGAGGCCGCGTGGCCCCTCGGTATGTTTTTCAGATATCCGCCGCCAGCACCGAGGGGCCACGCGGCCTCGGGTGCGGGGATCTCAAAACCGGTAATGATCCTTCCGCAGGTTCACCTACGGAAACCTTGTTACGACTTTTACTTCCTCTAGATAGTCAAGTTTGATCATCTTCTCGGCACGGCGGAAGACAAATGTGTTTTTCTGACACATCAGTGTGTGAATGTGTAGGTGTGACCTGTGGTGTAAAAGAGCTTTGAGTAGTCAGAAGACTAGAAAAGTGCTACACAAGCTCAAGTCCCTTTACTGTTATATTGTTAACGATTAGGACATCAGATAACATCTAATGAAGCCTGACCTCAAACAATCTTAAAGGAGAGTTCATACTGTACAGATCACATTTGCTTTGATTGAAGGAAACGCAGCAGCACAGGCTCCATTAAATCTTAGTGACTCATTAGCAATCAAATCAGAGACGTCCAAAAGTCTAAAACTAAATTCTGACTGATTAAAAAAATGAAAGGATACCGAAGGTACTTTAAAATCAGAGCCCGTCAGATAACCTGAGTCCTCTCCCCTCATCTCTCTGAAGTTAAAGCAGGCTTCAAACAATCCTCCCCTCTCTGGGACTCTGATTAGTTTTTACCCACAACTCTCAGATTATGTAAGTGTGTGTGTGTGTGTGTGTGTGTGTGTGTGTGTGTGTGTGTGTGTGTGTGTGTGTGTGTGTGTGTGTGTGTGTGTGTGTGTGTGTGATGGCATCCGGATTATCACGCATTCAAGTTTTCCCTTTCTTTACATAACAAAGGCATTTCCATTTTTAGCTCAGTATTTTGTCCTCTCCGGTGGCGTCACTGTTGTTGACGAGCGTCCATTGTGTTTGAATGTGAGGGAGATGAAGCCACGAGCGTGACACTTGAATCACTTTGAGAAAACACAGATATTAAGATAATCTTGATTTATCAAAGCTTGTTCAAATAGATGACTGATCTGATTTCCACAGGGCCTTTTAGTAAACACGTTCATTAAGGATGGAGCATGGCCTCTGAGGAATCTGTTGCTCTTTGAAATAATACCAAATAAGCTCATGACTAAACGGCTGATCCAATTATTTTTAAACCTGGCCGCTGTTTACTACATTTATTGGGCTCAACATGACTAATAGGTTAAGTAAAACACTTTAGCCAGCAGCCACAGAACAGGTTTTACCAGCTGAAATGTCATCTATAAATTAATTGAATCCTAACAAAGATTTAATAGAAACCAAACTTGATATAGATTTAAATATTTCTCATCAGGTACTGAGCAGAACTTTCAGTCAAACCTTTTACTGGAAGGAAAAGTTTGAGGTCTTCATCTCAGGACAACTTCTACAATTAAAAAAGAATACAGAATAAAAAGAAGCAAATGAGAGAAAAGAGGACAAAACGGGAGAAGTTGAATCTCTCGGGGACCGAACAGGGAACAAAGACAGACTGCTGGAGAGAGAAGTCGAACTCACACTCCCAGGAGCTAAAAGAAGTTTTCACACAGACAAATTAAGAAAAAGGAAACCAAGAAATGAACTGATAATTGAGGTAAATTTAAACTGTCTCGTATTAGAAAAGTGATTAGCAGAGTTCTGCTAACCCTCCTCTGTTGGAAAAGACAACAGGCAGAAGAGAAGAAACTGTGACACAAAGAAAACTACATTTGACCTCCATTAACGAATCAGGGCCTTTAAACGAGACGGACTCATTATAGCTCAATGTTTACCTGTGTGTGTGTGTGTGTGTGTGTGTTCACCCAACAGGGTCATATTTTTAAAGGTTTATTTTCTGTCTTTATTTAGAGACAGGAGAGTGGACAGAGTCAGTAACCAGGGAGAAATAGAGCAGGGAAGGAGCCACAAGTCGGAATCGAACCCGGGCTGCCCGCCTGGAGGACCACAGCCTCCGCACATGGGGCGCACGCACTAACCACTACGCCAGCAGCACCCCAACTTGATTTTTTTAAACGCTGCACCTTTTCGGGGCCAAAACTGTCCTGAGGTCAGCTAGTCAAAATCTGGAATTCTTCTGGGAAATAATGAGCATCCCGTCCTCCTGGCTAAAGTGGAGAGGGACCATCGGGCTGGTTATCAGCGCCCAGTTCAACATCCAGCATCTGTGATGGTATTGGGGTGCATGGGTATCCTGCACGTTTTAATAAAGGCTATTGTTTAACCATATAAACACGTTGTTCATTTCATGTATTTAGTAAAGAGGAAATAATTAAAAGGAACATTACAAAAGTTAAAATGGGCCTGACTCAGTTCAAACTGGTTTACAGCAGGTTCCTGTTCAGCAGCACATACAAACAAAGATTACATCAGACATAATACACAACCAACAATCAGACTTAGCAGCAACACACAGAAAAACCAAAAGGGGGGATGGGGGGGTTATCCTGATATAATGTGGGACCTCATTCCAGATGTTAGGGGATTTATGGTAGATCAACCTTACCAGCTGTTTCTTGTAAGCCAATACAGGATTAATGGTTTTGGAGCAACAAATGCTGACAAATGGACAGCGACTTTTTCAGAGAAGGTATTGCTTATGTCAGCAAGACAATGCGAAACCATGTACTACAACAGCATGGTGAAGCAATGAAGCGTAGCATACGGCAAAGGACACCCTGAACTGTTGAACAACTGAAAATGCTACATCAACAAACAATGGAACATCTAAGTTTCAACACCTGATGTTGTCTTTGTGCTATTTTCAATGCATGGAGTTTTAATATTTTCCAAATCCTCACACTGTGTTTTAATGACATTTTACATGACATCACAATTTAAAGTGTGTATAACTGTGTGTACCTTGAGGAAGGGGAAGTGTCCCAGCATTTTGGCCACCCGCTCGGCGTTGTGCCCCTCGTTGAGGAAGTCGAGCTCCAGCGGCATGTTCTTCTTGGCCTCCTCCACCAACCACATGAAGGCGAAGTCGGGGAACAGCCAATGGACCGCTCGCAGTAACACCTTCCAATTACAAATCACAATCAGCCACACTGTCATGTACAATCCAGCAGGCCTGTACGCACACTGTGGTGTCCTGTCAGCGCCTGACACTTTATGACAGTGTTTATTAGGACGAGGGGAACTGAAGGGATTGTGTACTCAAAGCTCATTACTGGGAAAAGTCTGCTGCTCAACAGCTTTTTATGAAACATGTTTTACATTGTCAGAAAGTTGACTTTCACTTCAAACTGATGTTGTAATATTGGGACAATTTCTGGCATAACTTCAATATTTTTATTTATTTTTTTAAATAATCAGAAGACACAAATAATGAGACTATATAGGCGAAATATATGATGTCAAATGAAAGGTACAGAGTCTGCAAAAGGACAAAGAGAAATAAAAATGTTTTATTAGCTCCCAAGAAAAGTCTGCATGATCTTGAGGAACCTTTGTGAGATGTTGTATTGCTACATTTGATCACAAACATAGTGGTACGTTAACAATGACTAATCTCACATTGCAGAGATTTAATGTATTTTATTTTGACATGTTCCTCAATAACTCATTGCTTTTAAACTGACTCCTCTCTACAATCTTGAAAACATTTTTTTGGGCTTTTGTAAAAGTTTCTTGAAATCTCACAGAGGTTTCTCAGAGTCATAAGTTTCACGGGATAAACCTTAAAAATGTTTAACCCTCTATGTTTCTTTCCGGAGCTCTGTAGAAATGTGCAGCTGCAGTAGAAAATTGGATGTGTCAAGAGATTAGTATTCCTTGAGTTTTTCTTTAGTATAGACACGGGGTTTCTCCACAAGGAACACAGATATGTTTGATGTTCAACACCGGCCACTGTAACTAAGGACGGGGAAACAGCAAAAATGACATCATCAGGGGTTAATACTGAAGGCCAGTTATTCAGAACAACCAGAAAACTCTGACACCTTTAACTTAATCCATCGTTTAACAGACTCAGACTCACCTCGATCACCATGATGTCCTTGGAGCTCTGTCTCTGGACTTTAGGGTGTTGGACCTTGACAGCCACGGTCCTCCCATCATGCAACACTGCCTTGTGGACCTGAGCTAAGGAGGCTGCACCCTGAGGCTGCTCCTCAAAGGAGACAAATAACTCTGACAGCTGAGGGAAAGAGCACGAGAGAGAGAGAGAGAGAGAGAGAGAGAGAGAGGGAGAGAGAGAGAGAGTGGGAGGGAGCAGGGGGTAAACAAGGGATGGAGGATGATAAATAAGTCGGGAGGGAAAGGGGTGTGTAGCTGAAATTGGTAGAGAAGTGTGATCATCAATCTCATCAACTCGATTTACGAGCTATTATTAGTAACTGTACAAAAAAAGGAGGCTTAACAAGAAAGGTGTACATGCATAGTGATTCATTCTCTCCATTTCCTCTCAGACAAAGTATGAAGCTGTTAATCTATTCACATGTTTTCACTTTCAAACTGAAGCTGATGGTCATTTTGTCCCACCACATCTTTAATATGTGCACATCGACAGAGGCGCTGCACAGTCAACATGTAGTCAAGTTTTATACACTGATTAACAATGATTTGGAGAGTTCCCTTCATGACATCACAAAGGGCAGTAGCCCCTCCCCCAGGTGGGTGACACTCCCACAGCTAGGTGTTTGTTCTGCTCTCTGAGTCTGCCTTCTCACAGTAAACAATAGGACATGGAGCAAGAAAGCCTGAGCCAAATCCCCTTCCAGAGAGGGGGCGTGGTCAGACACAGCTCATTTACATATTTAAAAGGTACAGACACAGAAACAGCCTGTTCTGAGCAGGGCTGAAATAGAGGGGTTTATAGACATGATCAAATACAGGATCAGAGTGGATTTAGAACAAAGAATTTCACACACATGTTTTTAGGAGCTCTGAGACTTATTTAAACTGGTTTAAAAAGAGGAGAATATGTGACCTTTAAAGCATCATATGATTACATGTAGGGGTTTTAGTTCAAACTTAATGATTAAGCAGCAGAATACTGCATGGTACAAAGGGTGTGATGTCTCTTTTAGTCCTCATCCTCATAATTCTGTACCTGCGCCCTAGTAGGTACAAAGGGGGTGCTGAGGGTCCGCTGTAATCTTGTTTGTTCAGGGTAAATACTAAGAGAAAGAGTCAGACAAAGACTTTGGATCCAGGTACAGCTCAGAAGGAAAATGTTATGTGCAGAGTATGAAGAATATTTATCTGGATATAAGGAGGCAGATTCAGGATTTCATGCACAAACTGTGAAGTCCACCGTTTCCTTTGATACACTCTGCCGACCCACAAATCTCTTATCACAGCGCGGAGCTATTAGCATCAAGGGAGCCCTCTGAGCAGAGGTGGTCCCTCATTAGCTTCCACTCATCTCTGTGGACACACAGAGCACACACACACATAAATGTGTGTGGGTTTGAAGGTTAAACAGGCCTCCCGAGGGACCTGGAGTCATTAGGACAGACATATTGTGTGCTTTGGAGCCTTCTACATTTACCCTGAGGCCGTCCTGCCGTACAGAAACAAATCTGTCGACTGAATAAAAAACACAGCAGGCAAAGTGAAGAACATGGCTTCTCTTTAATGTATCAAGCTCATGTATTTGATGTTGTTCTCAGCAACAATGACGCTGTGCCAGGCTTTCACCAGATTTATACAAGAGGATGCTCAGTTTTGATCATTCATAAAGTATACCAAGACAAGACGCTGGTAAGGCTGAAACAAACACTTGTTATCAAATCAATTAAGGAATTAATTGTTTAGTCTATTTATTGTCAAAGAAAACTGTGGACAGTTCACATAATAATCTCCCAGAGCCAACAGTGACATATTCAAAGTACTTTTGTCCAACCAAAACCTCGTCATTTATGAAAATAATCTTCATAAATAACAAATAAAAAGCAGCGGTAGATATCGTGTCGCATCAAGCATGATGGCACCCTAGCTGTCCAAACTGAATCCATTAAATATTTAATTCTTTGTTCTGTGAATTTCAATTTCCCCTTGCAAACAGTATGACATCTAGTACTTTTGTATTGAAATTCACTACTACTTAATGCTCAAATCCACTCAAAACACTCAGGGGCTCGTCAATAGACGGCTTGTAGTGAGCCGAGAAATAATGTGTTCTCTCTGGTGTTGACACAAGTCATAGCTCAACATTCAATCACTGATGTGGATATTATTAATGCAGTTATCTCCACTTTTTAAAACAAGCATACAAGCTTTGTTGAGTGAGAAAAGAGAGTGCCACGTATATGTGTTGGGTTTGAGGCTGTGGGATTGTCAGGTGGCAGGTAAGGTCCTCTGTTCAATTTTCATATGTTTCATTTTGGAGGCACTCAAAACCCCAAACAGTTTGAACCTTGGAGGCTTTTAGAGTTTCTGCCCATCATCACAAAAAGTGTTCGTTTCTGATCCATGTGACAAAAGACAAAACAGAAATCTCAAAATCGTGTACCTTTTTATTTCTTTCAGATTTTTAACATTCTCTTATTTAGTTTTTATTTAATCTTTTCTTTGAGCTCTAACGCATAAAATAAAAATGTCTTCCTGGGTATTAACAGAACTGTATCTAATTTAAATTACACCTCTTTTATTCTAGGTTGATGTCATTCATTTTAATTAATGTGTCACTAGCTTGTGTGTCTGAATAAGATCAAATAGGCTTAGAAACATAGACTGTAAATATTAATATATGAAGCCTGAGTGAATAATTCTTATCCTTCATGCAGTGTGTGCCGATCGAGACATGATCTAATAAGAGCTATTTATTTTTTTGTACCAGGCTGTAAACATGTTAATTTCTGCTGTAAAACTGATTTTTTAATGGGGTGTGTATGTGACTTCCTGTGCTTCTGCAGTGAGCCTCTAGTGAACACTCGGCGAACTGCAGGATTTTGCACTTCCACATCAGCTTCATTTTTCAACACCGGTGGTTGATGCTTGATTACAATGCTTGGACACTGGCGAGATTAGAAATAAAAAGTTGAGGATATAGAATTACTTAGAATAAGTATGATTATACATAACAGTTCACATTTTTTGCCAATTTTGCAAAAGAAGAATTAATTAATTAATATTTTTTCTGTAGGTTCAGTTCATTTCAGTTTTGCAAGGCCACTGTAACAACTCAACCATAGACTAAATGGTTCACCAAAAAGGTACAGGCGTGACCAAATCAGAACATGAGTATTGGCCTCACTTTTCTTTTTTCTATCACAGTTGCATGCTTGGCTCATTTGGGGGACTGGACATCTTCTTTCATATTCATACTTCACACTGTACCATGATGGGAGAATTCCCATGCTGTCGGTACCTTGTGAAACATCAAAAGAGGCTAATTTGAACATGATGTTGGCCCATCAGGTAGATGCTGAACACGAGCCCTGTAGAAGATGCCATTGGTTGATAAATTATGCAAGCAGCACTGGATCCTTTGTGGGAACAGCTGAGTTACTCATTATGCAAATATGTTAAACGGAATGAAATTGTCTGCACCCTAGAGTGTCTTCCCACTACGGCGACGAGCATCCTGTGGGATCCAACATGCAAAGAGAGCTTTCGTGGGTTAAAGAAACGTGTAAATCTCAGGTGGGCCACTTTTGGGGGCAATGAGGAATCCCAGGGCAGTTTAACATCGACTATTAAAAAAAAAAGAAAAGAAAACTCCCAAGGATTGTTAGAAAAACCCCTTCCTCCTCTTTGTAATGTTGGCACTGTTCTCTGTTGTGGTGTTGTCACTGCTGCCTGTAGACAAACACTTCTACCACCCAGTCACTGCTCATGTTAATCTCAGCTGTGGAGTTAATAAACATGCTAATGTATGCGCGTGGGCTCCGCTCCCTGAGGGCGGACCCGCCATGACATACGTTCTCTGAAATGAGTTATGGCACAAATAAAACGGCCCCCGAGGCCTCGGCGTTGGGGGGAACACATCGCTGTCTGTGTCAGCGCGGTGAGGTGGCCGTTTGGGCTGCTGGCGGACGGCCACAGCCCCAGCTGGAAGAAGACACATAAATCATTACAGCACAGGAGAAGAAATGGAAGAGATTACTTTACTGAGGAGAGGAAATCAAATCTGCCACTCGGAAAACTAAAGCAATCCGTACAGAAGTGTTTTAATGTAAGTCTCAGGGTCAGTTAAGAAAGGAGAAGATGTGTACACATATTGTAAATGCAGAACAAACTTGACCTCTAAGACAAGGCCAATTGTCCAGTTTTAATATAAAATGCTAATCTTTAGCCAATGTTTATTAATGGCTCTACCTCACAGGCAGCGTGCATTTGTTGACAATCAGAGGGGTGGTGGTTTTAGAAACCAAAGAAGACCCATGTCAGCTGATGAGGTACGGTAATATTACTGGATTTGGCAAAAATATGACTCTTCTAGTGTCTACAGCCCGGCGTTGGTGTAAGATGGATTTATTCATTTATTTGTATGCAGGTCTGAGACATGACTTGGGTTAGAAGACTTTCTGCAGCCGGTAAAGCTGCTAAACATGAGACAACAATGACGATGATATTTTAGATTTTTGGGGGATTTTGAAATACTTCGTTAATCTCTGAGGGGAAGTTCTGGTTTACACTCTGTTATTGAAAGACATTCTTCTCTCACACATAGCCCCGACACACACCTGCACAAACAGGACCTGTGGACCTGCATTGGTGAAGAGATGTCAGAGAGGGGCTGCTACACACTGCTGCAGAGTCCACACCGGGATTTGAACCGGCGACCCTCCGGTTCCCAACCCGGAGCTACTGCGGCCCCAATAACAATACAGCCTAACACTCTGAATAATATCTCCAGAGAAGTACTCTCTGCTTCGTGCTTGGTCACTTTCTGTTTTTCTCCTCTTAGCTTCATCCGTCAGCGTCCTCCTGCGTCTCTTCAGCCGTTATAAAAGTACAGAGGCGGGCTAGCTGTCTAGTGCGGTAAAACCGTACGCTATTCCTGTGAGCGAACCACAGCCCTCTAACAAACTTTAATAAAACTATAAGCAGGCAACCGAGGCGATCTGAGAGAGACGCTATTCTTCCTGTTGAAAGTTGTTTTCCTCAAGTGACTTTAAAAATACTATTTTAAGGTGGAAAAGTGACATAATGTGCTTTAAGGCAATATGGAGTTATGCAGATAATATG